GAGAGAGAGAGAGAGAGAGAGAGAGAGAGAGAGAGAGAGAGAGAGAGAGAGAGAGAGAGAGAGAGAGAGAGAGAGAGAGAGAGAGACTCCATAGAGGGTAAGGGGTTTAAGGTAGAAGACGGCGTTGGTTAAGGAGGGATTCGGGCTTACTTTTTGAAGTGAGGATCAGTTGGATCGATAGCGAAGTGATGCGAAGTGAAGAGGGAGCTGAAGCGAGGGTCATCGAAGTCCACCGTTGCCTTGTTCTTGTCCATCCCTTCCATATCTGCATCATTGTCACCAGTCTCGCCATACTTTTTCATCTTCTTTACCCTTTGTTTCTCCTTTCTCCGTTCCGACTTCAGATTATAACCCTTGGCCTCCGTGTTCCGTCCACGCAGGTCATCGTCCATCATGAGAAGCTCCAGTTCTGCTTTTGCTTTCTCGTCCTCTTTCCTTTGCCTCTCCTTCTCTTCTCTCCTCTTTTGCAGGTCCTTCTCTCCTTTCTCTAATTTATCTCCACCCTTTTTCCGGTCTCCCTTGCGGTTCTCCTGAACTCTGTCACTCTGTCTTCCCTTTCCTCTCCCTCGTCCTTCTTCCTCATCCTCCTCATCATCTTCTTCTTCGTCGGAGGAGGAGTCCCTTATTCCTTCCTCTGCATCGCTTGCAAAGAACGGGTCGTCAAATCCATCGACTACAGCATCCCCAGACTCCTTTTCCCTGCCTCTCTGCTCCGCAGCTTCTTCGTCATCGGATGGACGATTCACTGCCGCCTCCCTTGCTTTCTTCTTCTCTTTCTTCTTCTCACTCTTCTTCCTCAAATACCTCTCCCAGACGGTCTCCTTCTCATGCAACTCTTTCTCCTTCCTCTTCTGCAGCATTCTCTCTCCCAGCTCCGAAAGTCCCACGTTGAAAGTGATCTCCATGTCCTCCTTCTCCTCCTCCTCCTCCTCCTCCTCCTCCTCCTCCTCCTCTTCCCCCTCCTTCTCCTCGTCTCCGTCGCTATCGCCGGCTCCTTTGCCACTGCTTTTCCCTTTTCCCTCTTTCTCTCCAAGCAACAATGCCCTGAACTTCTCCCTGTCCCTCTGAGCCTTCTCCTTCTTTCCACCCTTCTTCTTCTTTCCCTTTCCATCGCCATCAGCACGACCGCCGTTGGCTGCGTTTATTTCATCACCGTTCTGTAACTTCCTGCTCTTCTTCGAACCCGCATTCCCCAGAGAAACCTCAACCGCTCTACCTCCTTGTTGCTTCTCTTTCTCCTTTGCCACATCACCATCCATGCCATCGTCAGCATCTTCTTCATCACCATCATTATCATCATCAGCATCATCCTCTTCATCTTCACTCTCATCTCCGTCGGCATCTTTTTCTGAATCCGTCGCGAGGTACGCTTGAAAGTCCATCTCGTTCAGCTGCGCTTGACAACAGCACAGCACAGATATCATATTCAAATGCAGTGCATTAGCCAACCCTCGTTTTCTGCAACTTCTTCTTGCAGTCTTTTTTTTTTTTTTTTTTTTTTTTTTTTTTTTTTTTTTTTTAAATTCATCATCTTTGTTTGAGCAGCGATTCAATCCCTCGTTTGAATCACCAGATCAGTACTTCACACAATCAGTGGAGGTTGTGTGAACTTGCCCGGGAAAAGAGAAGCAATCATCGCATCGTTCGAGGGAACCATGCAGATGTCTCCGAGTTCGAATAATATTCCATTGCGTATCAGTGGCATTCGTAGAGCCGGGAAGGAAAACAAGTAATATTCCATTGAGTATCAGTGGCATTCAACGACTGGGCAAAAAAAAGAAACCAACTTACCGAAACAAAGACAAAGGGAGAAAGGAGACCTAAGGGCATAAAACGTAAAAAGCGCAGACAAAAGACTGTGTGTGTTCCAATCGCCTTCATCAGTGCTACCGCCTCTGTTATTCCAATCACTTCATCTGCGCTACCATAATCCCCCAAACAGAATGTATCGTATTTATTGCTACATATACATATATTCGGGGCAATTTTCAGTCTAAATACCACGGTAATGACCGTAAATGCCATTTGAAAGAGGACAGTAAGTTGCTAGCTAATTTGTCATCAAATTAGGATGGGAAAAAAGATGGTAGCACCTGAGATTTGCACAGGCTGAGCTGGCACCAACTGAGATGGTACCAACTGAAATGGTACCAACTGAGATGGTGCCAACTAAGACAGTGTCAGCTGAGATGAGATGGTACAATCGGAGCCAGTGCCGGCTGAGCAGGTAGCACCGGAGATGGTGCCAGCCATATGATAAAGAAAAGGGTGTCATTGGTGCCAGCATTTTTTCAGCTGTGAATAGTGTAAAATGCAGTGACAAATTCCCTAGAAAAAGAACTGCAAAGCAAAGTGTAAATTCATGAGAAGTTTAATATCCAAGAGTCGCCGTAAACTGGGTAGGGGTAGCAGGGCGGGGGGTGGGGAGGTCTTGGGGGGGACATTGTGCAAGAGAGAGATGGGTGGGGTGGTCCATGGTCTAGTCCCTCTGGTTACCCCACTCCATCAGAGTACAGTGCACATGGTCATAGCTGCTCCTAGCCTCAAAACTTGCAAAAAAAGTTGCAATACACACGAAAATTATAACCCCCAATTTCCACTGGGTCAGGACTGCTACCGTCTTCACCCGAATAAAATGCCCGGTAATTATCACCGTATCTGGGCTGAAAGTTGTGCCAAATACAACTATAATGACCGGGCGTTCTATTCGGGTGAAGACGGTAGTTATCCCTGATGTGTTGTGCACCCGGACAAGGCCATGATCAGATGTGGATTCTTGGCGTCAAAATGTAAGGACAGGAAGGACAGGAGGAAAGAAAAAGGAGGTGAGATAAAATGCAAAACATGAGGAAGAAGAAAAAGAAGAAGGCGGGGGGGGGGAAAGGGGGGATGGGCGAGAAGGGGAGGGACGGAGGGAGGGAAGGATGCATGGATGGATGGATGGATGGATGGATGGATGGATGGATGGATGGATGGATGGATGGATAGATAGATAGAGACAAGACGAGACGAGAAGAAAAGAGAAGAAAAGAGAAGAGAAGAGAAGAGAAGAGACGAGAAGAGACGAGAAGAGAAGGTACGAGACGAGAAGAGAAGATACGAGATGAGAAGAGAAGATACGAGACGATGCGATGCGAGGCGGTGCGGGGCGGTGCTGTGCCGGTGTGGGTGCGGTGCGGCGCGGCGCGACGCGACGCGATGCGATGCGAGACGATAAGATAAGATAAGATAAGATAAGATAAGATGAGATAAGATAAGATAAGATAAGATAAGATGAGATAGAGAGATAGAGAGATAAGATGAGATAGAGAGATAGACAGAGATAGAGAGATAGAGAGATAGAGAGATAGAGAGA